GTGATACAGCTTGAATTCTTGGGTGGTGCTGTCTACTTCGCGGTGAATCTCCTTCGCCATTAGCTGACTGACGCTCAGTAAGTTGTAGCCGAGTCCCTCCGCGATTAGTACTTTTGACATCTGTAGTATAACGTTTGTTTCCCTTGACTGAAGTTGAACTACGCCTTGTCGTCGTGTTCGCAGGTTCTGATTGTTGGCGACTGTGATGACAACTTCGCGTTGAAGTTGGTGTTCTCGTTGAACGAAGCGTCCCGAGGAGCACATGTGCTGTCCGCAGCAACTGTCCAAGAACCATGTGTCCCTTCCGGATGGTTCGCTTTGGGCGATGGCGGCGTATGTCGGGTTCGGCTGAAGTGACTCGCGGCGGGGTGTGGTTTCGTCGAGTTGTTCTTCCGGTGAGTAGTGTGGTGGTGACTCGGTGACGCAGGAGTCACTCAGCTTTGCCATGCAGCTGACGATGTTTCTTGCTCCTTGTGCAGGTTGTCCTGTTGAGGTCGTTGAAGCTTGAATCTGAGTCGTGGGATTTGCTTGCGTTGAGGCGATTTGGCTGCTTGAAGGTCGAAGTTGCCGCTGTGGAGTTGTTGACTGTTGACAATTCGCGCAGTGCGTATGCGGGTGTCTTGAAGTTTTGCAGATGTGGCAGAACGGAGGTACTGGCTTCGGTTGTTGCTGCCGGTTGTTGTTGTTGTTGTAGCGTCGCTAAGTGTGGAACGCGAATTCCGGTGCTGATGTCTTCTTCTTGTGTCGTTCTTCTTGCAGGTCCATATGTTGCTGTTCGGCGTGGATTTCGGCGCAGACCGCTGCTTCGGAGATTCTTCCGTGAGCTCGGAGAATGGCCTTTGTGGCGCGCCATTGACGACCGAGGCCGCCGATGATGAGTGTCACGAAGGCGTCTTCAGACATCGACCCTCCGCATCGAAGAAGCTTGTCGCGCAACTCGCGACATCGACTGATATACGCCATTCCTTTCTCCCCTGGTTTCATTTCAACCGTTGTCAGTTGCGCCATTAACCGACTTTGACTTACGCTGTCTGTTGCTTGATACAGGCTTTTTAGGTGGTTGTACGCGAGCTCCGCGGAGTTGCCGTAGCCTCGGTAAGTCCTTATGTTCTGCTGTTGAGTCGGGGTGATGTTCCTCAGTAGGATCGTGTACGGTGTACTGCTGCTTCTCATACTGTGTGCCATTTGTTGGGTATGGCAGAGACCCGTCGAAGAACCCGAGTATCTGCGCGCCTTCCATCATCAGCTCGAACTCGAACGACCAGGTGAAGAAGTCCTTTCCATCAAAGGGTCTTGACGTCTGCATCTTCAGAACGTGTGCGAACTGCGACTGAACTTGTAATGCGTCCGGTGATTTTTCTTGTCAAGGTGAGGGCTATGGCATAAAGCTGATGGACCCGCGCTCGTACGGAGCAAAGGTAGGCTGCTGTTGCTGATTTCCTCGTGCATATGATGAGCCGTCGAGACTCATGGGTGTTGCTCCGTTGTTGTTGCTGTTGTGTGACTGCGCAGGTGCCGATTGCTGGTGTTACTCATAGAAGGACATGAAGGAGAAGAACTTCTCCATCATGCTCTGGTCGAAGTCTGCAGGTTGATTTGCGGGAGTCTCGGTAGATGTTGCTCTGGGTCTTGTTGCCGTGCCCTCCTCTGTGTGTAGGCCAGAGGCAGGAGGTGGAGTAGGAGTAGTGCCCTGGGAGCCGTTGGAGTTGCTCCTTTCCTTTTGTGTAGCCATGGTGATTGATGTTTTCGGTATAGTAGTTGAATTCCCCCTGATTGCTCTCATACCATGTTGGGCTGAAAAGGCCCTTAAGATCTTTGCAGGGGTGAACTCTGGGTAGAGTTGATGTAGTAGCGGAAGCGTTAATAAAGAGTTGTGAACCACCTTGCGCTAGTATGTGAGGGCAAAGTAAGTTGATTAAAACAAAGAGATACAAGATTATATAAGAGTACAAGGAATATGAAAAGATACGGTTATAACTGTTTTACTTGTTGCTGTTGCGGTTCGATACAGTGACGACTCGGGCAACTGCTCTGTAACGAGTCAGTTGTGTGTCCTTGCTGTCGGGCTGTATTTGTCAGGTCAAAGGTCGCTGACCTTTGACTTTCGCTTAACCTCCAGCAGTTACTTCAACCTCCGAGGGTTGACTCGCTGGTGCCTCGATATGCTTTGCTTCACTTGTGCCTTAGTGTTTCGACACGACAGAGGCGCTTAGGACCGATTGTTTCCAACAAAATTGTTCCCAATCGATATGTTTCACCCCTGTCATTTTCAATCCCCGGTTAAATAACAAATAGCTCCTAAAGGCAAGCACCCCTGCCCATCTATACCAAAGGCTGGTGAATAAAGAATGCATTATTACATATGGTATTGTCGCCTTCGCTTAATGAGATGATAAGGGTCGAGATATGAGTCACAATAAAAGTTAGGTAGCCCACTTTGCAAACCAGACGTTTTACAAACATTTGGTAACTTCTATACCTATTGAACCGGAAAATGCTAATGGTGCTTCGTGAAAGTCCGCGATAGTATATACTCTTATTCGGCAACTTCTCCGACGCGTACGCCCGCCCAGCTGTCGCGCCAGAGCTGACTGTGACATGTCCACCGCCTTTTGCCCTCACTCACCCCCATACCAGACCTAACCGTAGGGCGCACGTGGAACGAGATTTATTGTAACCTTATCCATATCAGATCGATGATAGGTGTACACCAAATGCTATTTCGAGTTACCCATCCGTACTGTCGCTCACATCACAACGGCTCAGACCTTTCTGCTACAAAGATATGAAATATGAGCTAATATGATATAATGACAAGCCATTGATATTTGGGAAGATTTTTCTGCTCCTCGGTCCAAGTTTCTTCAATTTCAACAATGTTGAGCACTTGAGAATGGGAAATGTTTTAGAGGGTTCTAAAAACAAAAGCGGGAAATGCTTTAGGCAATTGAACTGTCATTCCTTAATCTATTTCAAACTCCAAGAATGTTAGCTAAGATAATAACCCATCCTCTATACTGTGGTTGATTACAAGTATCATAATTGCAAAGGCTCAGAATCTAATACTGTTTTAAAGTGTAAAAAGAAGGGTTAATGGATACACAGAAGTTGGAGAGTTTAAAAGCCTATTAGTCAAAAACCCTGATTTAATCATCAATGGCGATATCTCAAGAAAAAGGTTGTTTCATAAAGGACCCAATGGTTTTATGATAGTATTGCTTGGATTAAACCTTGAAAATGTGTCAAAGAAAATGCTCTAAGGTGTTTTGTATGTGTCCGTCCACACATACGAAACGTAGCCTGAAAATCCACGCTTCAAAACCTGAAAGACCGCTTGCCTCAATCGACATTCAGCTGTACCTCGAAAATGAGGAGCCGAGAGACTGATGCCAACGGGGAAGATTGGGGCGGATTCTTCGAAACTCCTAAATCTATTAGCCAGCAAACAGAATGCTAAGGAGGTACATAAGCTGATAAGGGAACAACACGCTCATCTGTCAACCTGAGACTGTTCATAGCAACCCCCGTCCTCTCAGGTTCGCCGTGCCCCTTTTGAGCTCAGGACGCGACGTGATTTCACCGCCATGACACCATGCCACCGCCGGTGGAATCCAATAGACTCTACATATATATCCTGATTGACTGTCAGCCTGATGCCGTTCAGTTTCAAGCACTTTTCACTTCTGCTCGGCTGTATATAGACTGTACACTGGCTGTCCTCCACTTGCCCGTGCGGGACTCTACCTCACATGTCATAGCCATGCCCTGTCATGATGAAAAGCGAGCTTCGTCGGCCCGACTCCGTAGCCCTGGGATCGTCGGCCTGGGATCGTCGAATCACTGGCGGACGATGCACTCTCTGCTCATGCTAAAACCACCGCCGTTCAAACCGCGAACTTTATGCTAGATTCACTTTCTAGAGAATTCGATAGAGTGCCATATCGGTGACCGAAAAGCCTTCCCTTTCCCCCGCCGCCGCTCCCCCCTTCTCCCCACACTTCCCTCCTTCTCCCCCCACTTCCCCCCTCCCCCCTTCTCCCCCCAATTCCCCCGCTCATGGCGTTGATCTCGACTCGTCCTCGCAACCATGCCGCCTGTTCCTGTCGCGATCATGCTTCTTCCGCTGATCGACGGTCCTCGGACCTCCCTCTCCTTCTCCCGCTCCGACCTTTTCGATCTGCCACTATCAGTTCGGCAGTATATCAGCTCACATGCGGGGGATTATGGGAGAGCTCATTCTAAGATCGATTGAATCAATCAGCGACTTCCAGCCAATACCTCAGCATCCAATAACCCTTCTCATGGACGCTCCGTCCTGTCAACCTCTCTACTACGACGACGCCTCCCTCTCCTCGCCGCCTGATGGCTCTTCAACCTGTGCCGCCACTGCCGCCGCTGCAGCCGCTTCCGCCGCCGGCGCCGCTGCCGCACAAGGGGGCCATTCCCAGCGCAGATTGCGCCAGGCTGTTCTCAACGAGGTTCCAATCTCCGAGATCACCACTACCACTGCTACTACTACTACCTCTGGGTGGGTGGAACACGCGGACTTGGCTGCTGCATGGACCATCCCCAACGACCTCCCCCCTGCTCTCCTGCGGGGAGAGCCGTTGACAGACGTCTGCTCTCTCATCCCGGCCCCGCTTTCTGCTTTCCTGCTGCCAAAGAGTGTTTCAGGATGCACCGATGCCAGTGGCATCATGGCGCCAGGGAATGTCAGTGACCCACTTGCGACAGGGAAGGGAGTCTGGGCGCATAGTAGCGTTACTGGGTTGATGGCCATGGAAGAGGCTTCGCTGCTGGTTGGTGGTCTTGACTTTTCAACAATGGCAGCAATTGTGAAGATGGAAGCAGAATCGGCATCATCAGCAGCAGCAGCAGCAGCGGCGGCGGCAACGGCAGCGGCAGCAGATGTGACGCCTACACCCGATCATCGGCTTGACCCTGGCATTGCTGCGCTATTCCGAAGCGGTGGTGCGTTTCTAGATCTTCCAAGCTTGAAAATGGAAGCTCCTGTCTCACTCTCTGCTGCCGTTTCTACTCCTGCAGCTGCCGCCGTGTCTACTCCAGCTGATTCTGCAGCAGCAGCTGCTGCTGCTGCTACTGCTGCTGCTGCTGGTAGAATCGCTGGTTCGACCCACAACGCCACCCCTGCCGTTGTCGCTGCTTTTGAAGCCACACGGGCACAGGGAACACGGCCCACACAACCTGTGGTTCATCCTGCACGGCCGCTGCTAATGGCCCAGGCAATGCCAAGCGGCACCCAAAGAAGGGAGCTGGGCGTGGAACGGCGGCCCATACACCGCCGCAGCGCCACGGAGAAGCGTAGACGACACCGAGTCAGGTACGCTACGCCCCCTTGGGAACGACTGATCTTTGTTTCTACAATTCTCTGTCTCTTTCAGTCTCTCTTTCTTGACCGCCCTTCTTGATGAGCGATTCGGTCCAGATCCAGGCAGCTAAGCTCGTGTGACCGCATCTGTGCATCTTCATTGTTTCTTTCTGTGTGCAGCGCGGGGATAAAGCAACTAGAGAAAGCCATTCCTGCATCGTGGCTGCGCCAGCAGTGCTCCACCAACCTGGCTGCACGGACGGATACAGCGTCGCTGCTTCACGCTGCTGTTGCTTTTATCAAACAGCTGGAGGTGAGGCGGAGCCTGTGCTTTCGAAGTGCCATAAAGTTTGATACTTGCGGTGTGTGAAGAACGCATGCGGGTTGCTTTAGGTGGCCGGGGTTGCTTATATGATGTGCCTTTGTGACATTGTGCAGGTGGAAAAGGAGATACTCCTATCCCAAGCTTTCATCCAGAACATGTCAACTTGCAAGAAGTGACACTTTGTTCTCGTCTGGCACCTCACCGTACCCTCCTGCATACGGTAATGGACCCACCGAAACGACAGTGGGTGTGGGCATGGGTGAACTCGGCTCTGCCCAACTCCCTCTTATATGCTCTTGGTACACCTTTTTGGGGCCTGTTACGGTATGGTATTTGTTTGCAGACTGTCTAGAAGGTGCTCCCTTGTAGACTGTTACCTTTTTTCAGCGGAGCACATCTTCACAAGTCGCCACCGCTCAACTGGTGCACCACCATTCTGCCTCAGAAGTCTCAGCTGTCTGATGTTCACAATCATAGTCGGATTGGTATTAGTGGAGCCGCCGATTCTATACTAATATTTTCAGTCCCTGTTTTTTTATTTGTTTGCGCTACTGTTACCCTTATCCTTAGAAAGATCCGAGTACGGTACCGGTATCAAGAAGTGAGGATTTTCTGCAGTAATTTACTTATCACCCACTATTTCATATGAAATTACAGACATGGAAAAATATTTCGTCTGAATTTCCAGACATGAATTTTTTTCGAAAGTGTGTAACACTTTCTAAAAATGCGTATTGTGAAAGCGCAGCTACCTGTAACGAAGCAAAGCAACGGCGAATTACAATTCGCCGAGTATATAACTGTCAAAATGAGGAATGGGTATTGCATTGATGTTGGTTGGGGTACATATGACAAACCCTAACTTCTGTACCCCCTAAGACAAACCTCACTACAGGCTACAACATTTGACACACCCCCATAGCCTAAGTGAGGGGTGTCTAGCAAAAACAAAAAAGAGTACGGTCACAAGACCAGTCCAAAAGAAAACAAAGCTCAGGGTGGATCACAACGTCACCACACACTCTGAGCACAAGCAACAGTGGCCACAAGGCCAGTCCAAGAGATCACAAGTATATATAGTAAGTGTACAGACGAAGCAGGCAATGAACTCAAGTCTACGCATGACTAGAACCTGTGTCAACAAGGCCTAACTGCACACAACACCTCTGGTGGTCACAAGGCGGAAGCGCCTTGGTGAAGATGTCTGCAGTGTTGGCCTCGGACTCTACAAACTCGAAGCGAGCCTGTCCACGCCTCTGCAACTCTCGCAGAAGAAAGTACCTGACGTGAATGTGCTTCACTCTGCTCTCCAGTCGCGGCTCACGACAGAGGAGGATCGACGCCTTGTTGTCAGTAAACAAGGTCGGTGCAGAGCTCGGCCGCTCACCAAGGTCGGCGAGCAAGAAGGTCAACCACCGTAACTCCTGTGCCGCCATGGCACCAGCGTAAATCTCAGCCTCAGCTGTAGAGGTCGAGACAGAAGAGGAGCGCGTGGAACGCTAGGAAAACAGCTCCAGAACCCAGACTGAAACAGTACCCCTGAGTAGACCTGTGAGTCTCAGCGTCGTCAGCGTAAGAGGAGTCACAGTGACCAGTGAGTACGACAGACTACTGCCCTCCAAGAACTAGCCCCACGCCTGATGTAGTCGCTAGGTACTTCGCCACCCTCACAGCTGCCGTCCAGTGAACAGGACGGTGTCTCCCTGGCGCAACAAAGCGCGCAAGGATGCTGAGAGGGAAGACGAGGTCCGGGCGAGTACAAGTCATCAGGTACATGAGGCAACCCACAAGCTCTGCGTAGGGACCACTAGGCTCAAACGGCTCGTCAGGAAAGGGACCAGTGAGTCTGTGGTCAACAGCTAGAGGTGTGCGCTGTACGGTGGAGTGCTGAAGCCCGAACCGCTGAAGGACCTGCTGCACCATGTGTGACTGTGAGAGTGTAATGGTGCGAGCGGCTCTGTCCATGGTGATCTGCAGGCCAAGGTAGTGGCGCAGCTCACCAAGATCAGTGCACGTGTGTCTCTTCTGCAGTTCGGACTTCACGTCTGCCAAAGCAACCCTGTCCGAAGTGGCGAAAACGAGGTCGTCGACGTAGACCAGAACAAAGAACGGGGTGGAGCCACGACGAACGAACAGCGACGGGTCGGCAGAAGACGGCTGGAACCCAAGGTCAGAGAGGGTAGAACGCAGAGTGTCGTGCCACTCACGAGGGGCCTGGCGAAGACCGTAAACAGGTCGCCTCAGCCTCCACTGGGTCCCAGGAGGGAAGGTGCCAGTGAAGGCCGAGGGACGACGCAACCAGACCTCCTCGTGTAGGCTGCCCTGAAGGAAAGCAGTGGAGAAGTCGAGAGAGTGTAACTCGTAGTCTCTCTGTGCTGCTACGTGTAGTAACACCCGAAGAGTGGTCATCTTCGGGGTAGGTGCGAAGGTCTGAAAGAAGTCAACTCCCTCGCGCTGACTGAAACCTCTAGCCACGTAGCGCGCCTTGAAGACCGGGGGAGATCCCGGTGGCCGCTTCACCCTGTAGATCCACATGCCGTCGACTACGTTCGCCCCAGGGGGGGGAACCTCATCGACGTAGGTGCCTGTGGATCTGTAGGAGGCCATCTCTGCGTCCATGGCGCTCTCCACTGAGAGGCCCAAGGCCCTGACACTGCCTCAGCGTAAGTGCGAGGAGTCGGAATGTCAAGGGCGTCGGGGTCACCCTCAGGGGCGAGGAGCATGGCACAGAGATGAGGGGAAGCGGCCGCCAGGAACTCTAGCTCAAACTGCCTGTCCTCTAGGGCGTCACAGCCAAGGGCAGACACACCCCCGACGGCCAGAGGACTGGTAGGAGGAGCAGCCACAAGCGTGGTGGCGTAGTCAAGGCGGCGGGTAGAGGCAAAGTCAGTAACTGCGGCAGTAAGAGCGGACACAGAGGACACAGAGGCACGAGGGTGAGTAACAAGAGAGGCGAGAACACGAGAGAGAACAGGACGGTACGTGCGGTAGTAGTCAGTGACAGGAGTAGGGAGCGACACAGTGAGGGCCGACTCAGGAGGAGACGGAAGCACAGACTGAGACGGACGAGGTGGACTAGAAAGAAGGAAGGCAGTACGAAGGGGAGCGACGAGTAGCCCAAGAACGAGACGGAGGAGGAGAGGACAAAGGCGGAGAACTGGGGAAAACAGCGGGGGAGGAGTCAGGAGGAGGAAACGTGGGACCGTAGACAGGAGGAGAGGCGGAGGAGGGAGGAGAAGGGGAGGGGAGACCAAGGATCCGAAGACCCGAGACAGGAGGAGGAAGTGGCTGCTGCTGCTGCGGCTGCGACTGCTGCTGCTGCGGACGCGGCTGCTGCTGGGACTGCTGCTCCTGCGGGTCCAGCTGCTGCTGCTGCTGCTGCTGCTCCTGCGGCTCCAGCTGCTGCTGCTGCTCCTCCAGCCGCTGTAACTCCCTCTCCTCTCTCTCCAACGCCAGCTGCTCGTCACGGGCACGGCGAACACGAGCCTGGTGCCTAGTCGGGTAGGGGTGGGGGGGTGGAGTAGTGTCCGAAGCAGCGGCAGCTCCAGAGTCCACCTCAGAAGAACTAGGCGCACCACCCCCAGAGGCAGCACTAACACCAGCTCCAGAACCAGGCTCACCTGAACCCGAAGGAGGCGCACCCTCACCCCCAGACGCAGCACCCCCAGTGTCCGCGCGGCCAGCACCAGCTCCCGGACGACAAGAGTCCTCTGCACCCACCGGGTCAGCTCCAACTCCAGAACCAGAAACTCCAGCTCCAACCCCAGCTCCAACTCCAGCACCCCCAGAACCAGAAACTCCAGTGCCAACTCCAGCTCCAACTCCAGCTCCAACTCCAGCACCCCCAGAACCAGAAACCGGTACAGGAACAGGCGCCGCACCAACCTCTCGAGAGCTAGCACCAGCGGCACGCTGCGAGGAGGACTGTGGGGAGGGAGGCTGTACCGGAGGGGCTACCGAAGGAGGAGGGGTAGCCTGGGACACACCTGACGGGGCTGGACCAGGGGGGGGAGGCTGTACCGGGGGAGCAGGAGGGGGAACGGCAGTCAGGAAGAGGGGGGGAGGAGGAACCGGGAGACCTCGACTGGGGTACCTGACGTAGTACGGAGTGGACTCCTCGAAACGGACGTCACGGGAGTCAAAGAACCGGTGAGAGGGAGGGTGGTAAAAGGTGAAGTCAGAGGAGTCCTCAGGGAAACCAAGGAAGACACAGGGGACGGCACGAGGCGAGAGCTTGTCCGCGGAGGTGTCGCGGACAAGAGCCAAGCACCCCCAGACACGAAACCGCGACGCAACACCAGGGGACCCTGTCCAAAGACTGGTCGGTGAAACCTCTGGTCGAGAGACACGTGGCCAGAGGTTCAGCTGGTGCGCGGCGTACCTGACCGCGTAGGGCCACAGAAAATGGGGGGCACAGGCGTGAGTCAGGGAGGTGCGGGCGATCTCCATGACCAGGCCTATGCGGCGCTCAGCAACCCCATTCTGCTGTGGGGACTCTGGAAGCGTCCAGGACTGACGAATGCCCTGCTCGCGACAGAATCCAGCGAGAATGCCGGAGCGAAACTCACCCCCACGGTCGGAGTGGAGACAGATGACACGACGACCACGAGTGTCCTCAGTGGTGAGCAACCACCTGATCAGCGTAGAAGTCACCTCAGACTTCTTCGCCAGAGGGAACACTGTGGTGTAGCGGGAGAAGTCGTCAACTACCACCAGAAAGTAACGCTCACGCTCAGGGCCTAGACGAGGGGCTGGGCCCCAGACGTCCAAGTGAAGCGTCTCAAAAGGCTCGGTGGCCGGACGAAGGGAGGAGGAGTGAGGGGTGGCGCGCAGCCGACCCTCGACGCAGGGACCACACGGCGGAAATAGACAGTAATCGCCATGGGGGGAGGAAGCAGTGCAAGCTGTGCCTCAGTGCAAGCAGCGCGGTAACTAGCGTCGAGCGAGCGGAGGTGAGCGATCAAGTCAGCAGAGCGCTCAAACGAGGCAAGATCAGGAAACAGGAACGGGAGGAAAAGACGGCCGAGAGAGACAGTAGCGGGAGT